ACCCTTTATTTAAGTAGTTAAATGAGAAAGTTTGCCAATGGAATGAGTAATTTTACTCTTAAAATAAGATAATTAGATAATATATACTTGAAATAAGACAACGCAATAGTGTTTTCTTATTTTAAGTGTAAATTGTCTTGTTTTATTGGCAGAATGTCGCTTTTACCTCCTCAATTCAAGAACAAATGCACTTATTTTAAGAAAAAATGACTTATCTAGATTTTGTTTTTTTGCAGGGAATCTGTGAAGTAAAAAATTCTTAAATTAAGTGTATTTACCCTTAATTTGAGTAGGTATGTAAGAGGATTTGCCAATGGAATGAGTATTTTTACTCTTAAAATAAGACAATTAGGTAAAATTCACTTGAAATAAGACAATGCAATAGTTTTTTCTTATTTTAAATGTAAATTATCTTGTTCCATTGGCAAAGTGTCTCACTTACCTCCTCAATTCAAGAAAAAATGCACTTATTTTAAGAAAGAATGACTTATTAAGATTTACATTTTTTACAGTGTTGGATCCTAGATGGTGACCAGGAGGGTCAGAATTGCTGCTCCTGCCAAGGAGCGGAGACAGAAGCTTTAATTTCACTGAGTAATGTCCCAGTGAGCCAGAGGATGTGGATGCTCCTTTTCTCAAAGGGCCTGTGGCTTGATGACAAGCCTGAAGCTGAACTCCTGGATTAATTCAATATGCTGTTCATTTATTCATCAAATGGATCATGTGGTGTCGATAAGTTCCTCCCTCTCTGTTTATATACAGTCATATTCAAGAAGTTAGAAAGTTTGGTCCAATGAGGCTTGTTTGTCATATTAAACATCACATACAGATAACATATAGATGTTTGAGATTGGCCTGTTTTCCAGTGTAGTCCTGTTTCTCTGACTGTGACTGGCTGGATGTGCTCTCTTCATCCTCTGGCTCGGAGCTCGTCTACCTGGCTGTGTGTTTCCTGGAAGGGGCCGCCATTTAAAGTTGCTTTTTGTATCTCCGCTTCTGTCTCTTTAAACCCCAGTCGGCCTCAGCAGATGGCCGCTCACACTGAGCCTGGTTCTACTGGTGGTTGCTTCCTGTTAAAAGGGAGTTTTTCCTCTCCACTGTCGCTACAAGCATGCTTAGTGTGAGGGATTGAGTTCGAGTCAATGAGTTGATGAAATCGACCCTGTTGGTCGCACAGGGGTTCAGCAGTCATGGGGCAGTCACATAACAGAACCTGCTGCATTTACTTTGTTTCCATGTAAACTCCAGATTTCAGCTTAATGCTGGAGTCACTTTGTTCACAGCTGAATATTTTAGGATGTTTTGTCTTAATGTAACTCAGTTGGTTTAACAGGACCAGTGTCTACCAGTGTTTATCTAAAGCTTTGGATCTGTTCATCTAAGTCCAGATGCATAGAATCTCTGAGAGCAGACCGAGCTCCCAGAAGCAGATGTGGCTGTTGTTTAGATGTTGTGGTCTCCGTTGGATCACTGAACAAACGCAGAGACAGAGGCTCCAAAGTGTTTCACTTTAAAACACATTTGGCTCAGGGAACAAGGTCAAGAATCATCTTTTATTTAGACGATCATAGTTTCCAGGTGCCGACTGTGGCAGAGGGAGAGGAGGGCTTCCCAAGTGTTTGGATGAACTTGTGATGATGTCACAGATAGAAACAATGAGCTCAGGATGAAAGTTTGCTGCTAAACAGAAGCAGGAGGACAAATAAAAACACTCATCAACCCAGATCAGACTTTTCATCTGAATCTCTTCTCGGACGTTCTGCTGGAGCAGATCTGAAAACTTGTGGAGCTTAGCGGATCATTTTTCTCTTCCATCAAAGAAACATTTCAAACTGTTTTAGTTGGTTTTCTACAAGAAACAAGACAAGATCAATAATGTTGGTTTTATTTTTATCTGTTTGCTGAATAGATTCCAGATTTATTATTTCGGAAAGTCATTTATTGATTTTTTTCCCCCATCCTCTTCTTAAATCTCTGTTTCCTGATGTTTGGAACATCTGGGCCCAACAGGTCCTGCTCACCATCCTCATCCCTTTCCTTCAGACTCTGCTGGATCTCCAGGGTTTCTGCTGAGATCATTGGTTCTCATTTCAACGAGCGGCCCTCTGATTGGCCCGGGCCAGGAGACGGATGTTGCGCAAACACCCAGCAGCAAACTCCTGGAGCTTGTGGTCATCAGAGCCTATGAGGCGGATCAGTTGCTGTGGGAGTGGAAAGGACAGAAGTTAGCAGCAGGATTAACACAATCCACAATATTGTCGTTTTAGAAGTGACAACAAAAAATACAAAATAATCCAGGATAAATTTGAAATTTGAAAATATTTAGAGTCATTTTCTCCATGCTGCCACCAACCAGAGGGGGCAGCACTGAGAAACAGCAGCAGGGAGGGGACTGTCCTGGGGTCTTATTTAGTGGACAATGTGGATGATCCAAACTAAAGGTGTTCATACAACAAACATCTGAAAATGGCGTCTTAGAGTTTAATAATACCTCACATTTATTTAACTGTGCTCACAAACAAAACCAAACAACTTCCCTTTATAAATCAGGGCTGTTAAATGGAGTGTTGCAGCAGAAAGCCTGAGGAGGTTTGGCATTTCAAACCAATTTTAAAGGTTTCCCAGCTCCTCTCAATAAACTGGAGATGAAAATCATTTCAAACTTCCATCCAGCCCAGAAAGCATGCAGCTCTCTGAACAAGCCTCTATAGTGGAAACAGGAAGCCTGAGAAGGTTGGTTTATCTGCCAGCCTTGTATCAGAGACCATGGTCAGAATGTTGGATCTGTTTCAATGTTGCCTCTTTTCTACCAGCAGAACCGTCGCTCTTGATCCAGATCAGAGCTACAGAACTTGGGTGGTCGATTACAAGCCGACGCCTGTTTCCACCAGTTGTAGAACCAAGTCCTTCATCTTCAGCATTGGGCAATACAGAAGGTTGAAGTAAAGTTAGGTGGCAGGATGCCTGCATGTTTATAATTCCACCAGAGAAGAAGAAGAGGAACAGCAGGCTGATAGAACATGATCAGAAACAGAACCACAGTTGGGTTCCAGCTCTGGGCAGTTTCCCCATCAGTTCTTAGTCTGAAATATATTGCTGCTACATTCTGCCCTAAGGTCCAAGACGAACCCTTAGCAACGGTTCCCCCAGCTACAGCCCTTTGTCCTGAGCTGCAGTGGCATCTAGGGTCCAGGAGGATTGGTGCTTTGCTCACAATGAGCTGTTTGCTTTTCTCAATCCCCAGGACGGATTTAAAGTGACAGTTTTTATCTGTTCCGTCTGTTTTTTACTCATCACTAAAACAAGGCTGGCTGTAGACCAAAGCATGTTTTCCTCAATGCATCTATTGTTCAATTAGCCTCAAAATAGTGAAACAGTCTAAAATTGTGTAAAGGTGCAACAGAACGGACTGAATGAGGACGTAGGTAACCAATCCTAAAGGAAGATCAGCTGACCGGGACGGCTCCTTCCTTATGCATGGTGATGATGTTGTTGGGCTCTTTGGACAGCTCGTAGAGGGCCATGGTTGCGCTCAAGAGGACCCTGCTGTCCTTGGACTTCAGGTAACGGACCAAAGGGCCCACGGCTCCACATTCCCCAAACGACTCCCTGTTGGTGCTCCACAAGCAGAGGTGTTCAATGGCCTCGGCCAGGTAGCAGCGAAGCCTGTTATCAGTCTGCAGAGAGGAGAAAAGGAACAAAAGTTCTTTACCAACAACATCATCCTGATCAGCTGATATCTGGAGAAGCTAGAAAGAAAACACCAACTAAACTTCAGCATAAACACATAATCGATAACCAGACAGAACCTCAGTGTTCAGACAGCAAAAGCTGCTTTGTTTTCAGTTGTGATGTGTTCTTACTGTGTCAGTTAGCCTGGTCAGCAGGGGGACGGCCCCCCTTTCACTGAGGACTTCCACAATCTTCTGGTGTTTGGCTAGTTTGGCCACCAGAGCACAAACACTGGTCAGCACCTGGTTGTTGGTCGACTTCAGCAGATTAACGACCAGTTCCAGTCCACCGATCAGGGAGAGGGCCATTATCTCTGCATTCTACAGTCACAGAGTCACTGATCAGCTGCTGCTGAGTGGGAATCACAGTACACAGGAGACATTGCAGAGGAGGGACAGTAATGAAGAACAAGGAGAAGAAGGCAGGGACCTCTGAACACTGCAGCTAAAGTGAAACTTTTAAAAAGCATAGATGAAGAATTGGAATCAGTTCCACCCAATCCTGCAGTTTGATCCGTTGGTTGAGCTTTCCTTCCTGCATCCTAACCTGTCCTCATGGTTCTGAGTCAGAGCTTTAAAGTGACCTAGAAAACTGTCTTCCAAAGGGAGGACTCGGCATCCTCCAGCTGTTCTGGTCCCAGCCGATACCACAGGACTCTGACCCACTTTTCAAGAGATTTCTCCCGAAAGGTGGAACCAAAGAGCAGGAGCTGCAGAGACATTAGCTTCAGCATCGCTTGGCCCATCAGACTGCCGTTTAAAATGCCAACTCAGCACATGGCTGCCACAGAAGAAGCCCTCTAGGTGGCCCAGTCTGGGAGGTTCAGCTGAAAAACTCTAACGACAAAAAATAATGGACAACTGGATGTGAAACCCAAAGCCTGATGCAGCTGAGTCTGTTTCAGCTTGGTCTCCATGGCAGCATCTGATACATGTTTCAGAGCTGCAGACCAAAGACATTGAAGCATTTTGTATATTTTGCTGCATTTCTGTAAATCAAAATATTTGATGAAATTCAGCAAAGATAAAAAAGCAGAAGCTGATTTCCAGTGAGGCTCCTGTGGGAGAACTGGATGTACTTCTGTGTTCTCCTCTCCAACATGGAGCTCAGGTCGCACCCCGGGGCCATGTATGGGCCCTGTGATGGTGTGCCAGGGGACGAGGCTTGTTTAGAGAGCAGGCCAGAGAGGAGGTGGCCACTGCAACAGGAGGAGCCCTGATACACAGGAAGCTTTTCCTCAGGAATACTGATGATGGCTGACTGGGAGTCCCTGAGACAGAGGAAGCTCTCTCAAGCCACCAGCTGCCACAGACTACCCAGAATCCCTTTCATGGCCCGGATGGGTCCGGTTTGGAAGGCTGCTGCATTCTGAGGCTGCACATGCAAAGAACTTTGTTGCAAATCTCTCCATCCTCTCCTCTTCCTCAGGATGAAATGAGATAGAAACACAATATCTGCTGTGTTTGATGTTAAGCTGAGAGGAGAAAGCTGAGCTCAGAGGGCAGAAGCTGCTCTGTGGCTCTTCTCTGGACCAATCAGACATCTAGGACTCACACAGCTCACATGTGAAGGAGAACTCAACCATCCATCTAAATGTGCTTCAGTGAGCAGGCAGATTAATGCAACAGCTCATCATGTAAAGCTGAGAGGGCTCTGTTTCTGTTATTGGAGGATCTACTATTCTGTATTTGGGCTTATTGTCCAGTTATTAACCTGCAGACAGTCTGTGTAGATCCTGTATAGGTCTGTGACTGTAGATGAGCTGCAGCTCTGATAGACAATCCATCAAATATATTTATACTGCTGCTCTTTAATAAATCCACTATGGATCTGCTAACTCAAACATTTGGGTTCTTATCTAAACAAAGACTGAGGCTAAGTAGCTGGATCAGGTCCAGCTCTGTTCAGCTCGGCATCGCCCCGTCCCACAGAAGCTGCGTGGTCCTCCGTTCTCTCAGCATGGACATTGTGTCTCTGTAACTCGCAGGAAAATTTCAGTGAGGAAATCAGACGCCGTGCCACAGGATATTACCCAGGCTTTCTCCCGGTCTGCTCCTCTCTTCACCAATCCCAGTCAGCCAAGAAAGCTCCTCTGCTTCATATTAGCCCAAGGTTCACGTAAGCCCCAGCTGACACAGCTCTGCCCTGCTAAACTCCAGCAGCAGCATGTTAAAGGCAGAGCTTTGGGGACCATGTGGCTGATAGTCACATGAGAGAAGCGTCTATGGGGAACCAACACAAACCCAACAGAAGTTTGTGTTTTATAAACAAGCAGTGTGCAGTACAGCTGTTTAAGAGGCCAACCTGTAACAAACCTGCTGCAGAGATGAGGAAGAATGTTGGACTTTGTCTCCAGGGACTGAAAAACTGGACGTTACTGTACCTTTGCATTACCAATGCAGGGACAAAGGGCCCAAGCAGCGCTACACTGAACTTCTGCACTGGGGTTCTGTAGCAGTGACCACAGCAGGTGGATTCCGTCAAGCACGAAGAGGATTCTGAGGGAAACACAGAATGGTTTCACTGTAGAATTAGATTTCAGCACTTTTTAGTCCAACCCCCCCACTCAGACCTTTCTCCACAGAAACCCATCTGGATCTAGAGTAGGGATGTCAAACTGGTTCCAGAAAGGGCTGTGTTGCTGCAGGTTTTCTTTCCAACCAAGTAATGGCACTTCAGGCTGCCGTCATCAGTCTTAACATGATGACTTGATGAGATGAATGGAGTCTGGTGTCCTTTTGCATGGTTGGAAAGTAAACCTGCAGCCACACGGCCCTTTCTGGACACCAGTTTGACATCCCTTATCTAGAGCTTCATACATTGATTTATAGACAGATGCTGAGATACACTTGTAGACAGGGAGAGAACATGAAGAACATGGGGAACTGATGGAATAGACGGCCGTTTCTCAATATGCGTTCTTGAGCGTTCTCGTGTACTCGTGATACGTCATCAGCCTCAGCCCGAGTACCGTTCCAATTCTCAAGAACGCCAGATCGAGAACGCATCAAATCCCCGGATGTTGTTCTCGCCCCGCCCTCTTTATCGAGCATGCATCAGAGCAGACTTGTGCGTTCTTCAGACCGACCGCTTCCCCAGAATGCCCTGTGGCCGCTGCTTGATTCGAGACAGCGCTCACAGTGTTAAGTTAAACATTCCCTTTTCTGCTGCTGCTGTTCTTCAAAAGTACGTTTTGAAATCGTTTGAGGCGATAACATTATACATTGAAGCCTCCCTGTGTGGTCTGCTTACAGAGTTAGTGCGAAATTTAAAAAAAAAAGTCCGACGTTGAGCGGACCAGAGTGACCAGCAGACCTCCGAGGGTAACCGCAGCCAGGGCTAAATTTACCCCGTCTGTAGTGCACTTCTCTCGGTCTAGTTATGTGTGAACTACCGCTCGTTCTGATGGCGGTTTTTTGCGGTTCGGTAATTTTGTTAATTTTTTTTAAGCTTTAGAAATTAAAAATATTGTTTTCAAAATGTTTTGTGTAGGGAATAAATAGTTTTGGCTGTTAAAGAAATGCTAAACAACGTTGCATGTGATGACGTCACGAGTACGCTTCTGCTCCAATACACATACGTGCTTGCGCGCTCGCGTTCTCGTCAAGTCCGATCTTCCTGCGTTCTCGCCAAGAACGGACTTGACGAGAACGCGAGTACGTACTTGCGTTCTCGTGAATTGAGAAACGCCCGACATCTCTGGTTGGGTCAAGTCGGGTCAGCAGCCTGATTGAAACAGGCTTCGTTGTTAAACAGCCCCAGGATCTGTTCCTTCCCACACTAACTGGTCGGAGTCATACCACAGCAGAAGTTTGCGCTGCCCAGCAGCAGTCTGTACGTAGGCACTGTCCTCTCCTTTCCTACTTTCTCTTCTTTATAGTGTTTTTTGGAATGATTTTCTATTAGTGAATACCGTATCTGGTATTCTGAACATATGTGCACAGAGGAAGCCAACTTTGGGGACTGTAGAGCTGAGCTTTCTCCTACTTTCGGCACTTTTTGATGCTGCATTGGGGGACTCCTTTGTCTGCCACTCCGGACATCCTATTGTGGACAGACGAGACCAGATTCTCTTACTAATTGACTATGCGCCCTGCTCCCCACCACGCTTTGAGACCAGACATCCCTACAAAGAAAGGGATGAAATGGAAAGGCTGCAGGAGTGGCAGGACGAAGCAAAGGAAAAATGATTTACCATTGGTTGTCATTGGAAATGTAAGATCTCTCCGCAATAAGACTGAAGAGCTCAAAGCATTAACCAATTTCTAGAGGAGATACAGGGAAGCTAGTATCATTCATGTGGTTAGATGGATTTGTCCCGGACTCAGTGGTTTCCCTGGACAGCTTTAAACTCATCAGTGCAGACAAGACTTTGGCGGAGAGTGGAAAAAAGACAAGAGGAGGCTGCCAATGTTTGTGAATGAGACATGGTGAAGCACGGCTAATGTTCACATGAAGGAACAGATATGCTCCTCAGATGTAGAGTTACTCGCGGTGAGCATGAGACCGTACCATCTCCCACAAGAGTTTGGGAATGTGATTGTGCTCTGTGTTTGGCACCTTTTGACTATTGAGCCAATGAGAAGAGTGAATTTCTCCACTGTGAGATCTTATCTTCTCTTATCTTAGAAGCAGCAAACTAAG